CAATACATATTTCACATAACAGATGAGGCATACCCACATAACACGTATTTCATAGAAAACAATCAGATCTATGAGATTGAAGAGAGTGAATATACATTCACGCACATAACAACAAGATTATACACATAACACGTATTTCGTATAAAATACTTCATAATTATGCGTTAGAAGAAATTAACTACACACTCACTTGATCAGAAGATGATCGGACAGCACTACGGCTTGCAGAAGTAGTAATCCTCAGCAGATCTGGAAGATCTCTACAAAAATCGAACTTCTCGCGGGCCTAGCTTCGGCTCGGAAACCGCATTTCTCGGGATCTCGGGACTTGCTTCGGGACTCGGGAATATTACCGGGGCTTCGGGGTACTTCTGGTACGCAAATCGAGGTAAAACAGGAAAGAGAAGAGAGAAAAATAGCAAAGAAACTCGGCAGCCTCGCATCCTATTTATAGGAGGCTGGAGCCTCGGAGTACGCGGGGCGTACTGCCTCCGAAACGTAAGCGCATGCGTCATCCGAAGTCCTCGCGTGCGAGTGTCGACATTCTTCGCTGTACGCGGGGCGTACTCCGGATGAGTCCGGTGACTCGCCTCCGGATAATACCGAGATTTAATAATTAAATTTAATTATTAATTATTTAATAAACTTCGAAAATTCATATCTTCCTCATACGAACTCCGATTTCAACGTTCTTTATATCCACGCGAAGGTGAGACTACGCTCTACAACTTTCGTTTAGACTCCGTCGGCTAATTTTGACTTTATTTTTATTATTTATTTTTAATAGGCCGGGACAGAAAATTTCGTTATAAATTCATAACTTCTTCGTTTGACGTCCGTTCTCGCATAACTTTTTATCGCTTTGATACTAACAACGAGATATTCGAATCTCATTTAGATCACTAAGGCTAAATATCGCTCTAACGTAAATTGCACTTTTTACGTCATTCAGCGTTGCCGGTTCTGTCGCGAAACTTCGACATGTCATAACTTCTTTGTTATAACTCGGATTTCGGCATTCTTTATATCCTCGAAACCTTGTTTCAACTACTACAACATTATCTAAAGATATCAAGTTTATTTTATACTTAAATTTTGATGTTTATTGTTATTCTTAATTAATCAAACCACGTAATTAAGCAATTAAGCACAAAACACATAATACTCAAATAATAGACTTCTATTATTTCAAAACGGGTTACAAAGGTTAACCTAGACTATTATATCATCATTAACGACAGGCCCAGAAACACAGGCGTTACAAGTCATTAGCCATTTTTGTGACATTGAAGCATTCTTTTGTGGTTTTTGACTCATTGAGGTGGAAGTAGACCTTGGTGGAGCAACCTCTTGGCAATCCAACTTCTATCTCACCTTCTTGCAGAGCTTTTGGACCATTGTAAGTCATAAAGCTCTGGCCTTTTTACCTCTTTCATGCTAGATCTAAGTTTTAAGCTTCTTTTTGCATGGTTGTGAACGATTATATGCATGGGATCCATAAAATTGGCAACTTTATGGATCATTTAGGCATTTTATATAGTATAATATTTGGATATGAGTTTTGGTGTAGTTTTAGACTCCAAACGTGAGTCTTGATCTCATTTATCCCTCTTTTTGACCTAATGAGTGTTTGAGTCATGCATTGGACATGTATGACTAAACACTACAATTTTAATCATCTTTTGGGTGAGGGAAGACCCTCCGAAAAGTCATAAGTATTTGTTGAAAGGAATAAGAGCTTAATGCTCAAAGCTGGCCAATGCAATGCTCACAATGTGAGGAACAAGTCTGCCACGTTGTGAAAATGCTTGCCATCCCGACTGTTTTGTCCGGATCGAGTCACGACGTGACTCAAGAAGTGGTCACGAAATGAGGGTCAGTTGTTGGAGTTTGGACCATTGACTTGAGACCATTTTGGAACATTTGGGTCTTAGGGTTCTCTAGATGGGTTGGGCCATTAGTGGGTCTAGTTTGGACTTGGGCCATTATTAGGCCTCATGATTATGAGCTTAACCTTATAAAGTAACTAGGGTTGGTATTGATACAGTGTAAGGAACTGTTGTGCAGTAGACTTAGGTGTGAGATTTGCTAACTTCTGATTAAGGTGAGTTTTCCTCACTGTATTTGTGGGTTGAAGGCACCAATGCCAACCCAGTACATTATGTATCCTGGTTAGGATGTTGCTATGTTGTAGTGATCTGTTAAGATTTATTTGTTTGCTATTATATGTTTATTTGTTATGTATATGTCGACATTGTATGGTTCTGTTGAGGTAGTCCTCCTTCGTTTGGTAGCCAACAAAACCCCAGAGCATGCCATATATAAGTTGTGGGCCTGAAGGGCAAGCCAGACTTATGCTGTGGGCTTGGGAGCAGGCCGAATATGAGCTATGGGCTTGAAAGGCAAGCCAGACTAATACTGTGGGATCATGTGGGTAATCCAGTCTGTTAGTTGTAGATCCCGTATATGTTGTTATATGTTATGTGTGTTGGTACTCTGGGGGAACTCCCTAAGTTTTCGCTTACAATTTTAGTTTATGGTTTCTAGTACTTCAAATGACCGTGGCAAGGCGAAGTCGTGACCGTGCACATCCTTCAGTTTTATGTTATTTGAGTTTTAGGATAGTCTGATTACCGAAATACACTTTTGAAACAATGATTTTGTAAACATTTATGGACTTGGGTTATTTATGAAAAGTTAAAATTTATTGTGATCTTTGGGATGCTATATATAATATATAAAGAAACTGTTGGTGATTTTATATCATCAATATTATTTAAGTGTAATAGGATTAAATTTGCTGACCAAAAGTGATCTTATTGAATATTGAACAAGTTAGGATGGTGTAGGAATGCACACTTGTTCAAGATTCAAAGTACATTGTTATTTAGGGGCGAAGCCCCTAAACGAACAGGGGTTCGAGGTCAGCGCCCCTGGCGGGGTCCAAGGGGTAGAGCCCATGGCTAGTAGTTTTATGACAGGTTTGCTATATTAAAAAATGCATCAAAAATCCAATTTAAGAAAGTTGGCCCTTTTTTCCTTGAGATCCGTTTAATGACAGGTTTGGTAGTTTTATGACAGTTTTCAGACAGGAATGATATATCTGTTTTTTTGGTCATTTTTCTGGTACATCTTGAATAACATTTTCACATACATTCTCAGATTTCATTCTCTGAATTTCATCCAATTGAGTGTTCGATTTGTACCATCGAAATACTTCAATTTGATAGTGAATCACGACTTTTAGAGAATCCAAGCAATCTATTCATCCCTTATTTTCTAACAAAAACCCTTCCTATAAAGAAGTCTATCCTTATTATCTTAGAGAAGCAAGACCCCATGGCTAATATATAGGAACATACATGCCCCAAAATGGCAATTTTGTCGTGGCATACAAATGGAAATAATTTGCTTGAACTGGAATTGAAGTATAAGGCAAAACTCCGCTTGTCCGAAGGAATTAGTGTAACCTCCTTTATCAAATCTAAACCACTCTCACACAATCAAATATACATCTAGATGGAATAATTATCCCTCGGAAGATTAGTATATTTTACCGGTGTGTTATTTTAAACGTGATTGCTACTCGCGTCAATTTAGATGCAAAAGGCATGAATATTCCGTCCATTGTTTGTGGTATTTGTGACTCAGACCGGGAAGAAGTGGGGGCATATTTTTATTTCTTGTCAGGTAGCTGCAAATCTATGACAATTTATTGATAGATGGTGCGATTGGACATACCAAATTTTATTGATGTGCAAAAGGGGCGGTGCTATGGATTGATATGTTACATCTTTCTCAAACGAAACAAACTGGTTTGGAAGGTATCATTGTAGTCATGTGGTGGCTTCTTTGGCGGTTTCGTAATGAGGTTCTTTTTGATGGTCACACTATTAGAAAATTTTCGTTGATTTATAGATTGATCGATGATTCTTATATCTGGACTGTGAACATGATTATGAAATTCAATGTTAGTAGATTGGTTTGACGTTTAAATCATGTTCTTTCTATTAGTATATAGTTTTTTGTTAGCTCTGCACTAACTTCTTAATAAATTCATTCAACTATTAAAAATAATAATAATAATTTTCACCTAGAAAAATCTTTTGTATGAATAATGCATGCATCCGTAATAGGTTTCATATCGATCTCGATACATCGTGAAAATATCCAAAATATTATGTCCTAAACAATCATTGGCGAGTATACATAGTGTCAAGGTTAGTCAACTGACCCACCTTTTTTTGTTATAAGTAATATATAAAATTTATTTGTGATCTATGTAAAATTTTATAATTGACTTACCTTAATTTATTTGACAAACAAATTAATATAAATCAAGACTTTTAAAAACCCAACCTTTATATCTCAATAGCCCAAATACTTAATTACCTATTAAAAAATAACCTAATATATTTTTTGAGTGATATTTGTGTCGCATAATGAAAAAATGAATGGTTAATTTTTGAGGTATAGTTTAGTGTCATTGAAAAATTGTTTGTTATTACACTACAATAAAAACAAAAGAAACCTGAACACTGAAAAATGACAAAATCAAACAACGATTCAAAATCACCCTGTGAAATGACACAAATATATTTAAAAAACATTGCGAAATGACCTTCATAATTTTTTATTTATAAACATTAAGAAATGAACAAATCAACAACGATGCAAAATAGTCATTTCACAAGGTATCCGGGGAAACAATTTTTTTTAATTAAAAAAAAAACTTTAATTTATAGTCGCCAAGTACCAAATCCTATGCTAACAAGAGTATTCAAGGCAATAATCTAAAAATGGCTAAATAAACCATTTTGCAGTGCAAGGAACATTTCGCACGACAGCCTTCGAAATGCCATGCAAAATGATTATTTAAAAAAAAAAAAAAAAAAAAAAAAAAAACTATATTTCATAGTTCTAAGCCTTTTTTTTTTTTTTAATGGAAATTATTTAAGAAAGACCCGACATCGTTTGCTTGCTAATCCTGTATTCATTAGATTTTGTAATAAAATAATAACAGTTTTGTGCCACACAAACTGCGGGTAATAATCACTTGAATCAAAACGATGAATAGCTGAGAGATCTCATTTCACCTTTCCAATTTCCCATCAATAAACAAATCTCCGGATTAATTAAGCATTAATCCCAGGGTTTTGCTCGCGATCCGTGTCTTAGGATTTTTTGAAAATGGTGCCCAAAGGGAGATTACCCGTTCGGGGTCCTTCGCGGAGATCTTCATCATCAACGCTCATCTTTTCAATACTAATTATCTGTTTGTTCTTCGTATTAATCCTTCTCGCTCTTGGAATTCTATCGATTCCAAGAACATCAAACACTTTCCCGGGTGCTCATGATCTCAGCTCCATCGTTCAACGGACTACCGAATCTGTCAGGTCAGTTTACGTTTAGATTCAAGTTTGTTCCAATTTGTTGTTGTAATTCGATTCGATAACGCATTCTACTTAAACTGCTTCAATTTTCGCTGAATGTAGAAGCGACCGCAGCTATAGCGATCGTTGGACTGAAGTGATATCATGGGAGCCTAGAGCTGTCATCTATCATAATTTCCTGGTCAGCGTTTTTTTTTTTTTTTGATCGATTTCTTTCAATACACAATCAAATAACCACTTACATTCAACTGTAATGCTTCTGTATGTGAAGATAAGCATCAAATGTATGAATACATATAATTTATTGCAACCGACTTTTCTTAAACAGAATTTCATAGCGATCTCCTTCCAGATAACAGTAGTAATGTTTATTTTGATCCAATCATTCAGACCTCTTGACGAATTGCTATTACACTTCTGAACAGAGGAAGTGCCAATTACTTTTGTTGCTTGCATTTCCTATAGCTCTCTAAGGTTAATTGGCTTCATAATTATTAATTAAAATGGTCAATTAGTCACCAATTATATCATGTTTTAGGCTCAAACAATTACTCAGGTAACTCAAACTCATTTCCTTCTCTATATATGGCAGTCAGAAGATGAGTGTGAACATCTGATTACACTTGCTAAACCTCATATGGAAAAGTCAACTGTGGTCGATAGTGTGACTGGTAAAAACAAAGATAGTAGGTGTGCAGTTTTTTTTTTTTTTTTTTATCATTCTTGCTACTTTTGTAATTATTTTGGGAAATATACAGGAAAGGAAAGCCACTATATTTTAACACTTTTTTTGCGGTTTAATCACTATATGGAAATTTCTTTCAAAAAGGCTGGGGCTTTTCATTGAACAAAAAAGTATAGTGGTTAAACTGCAAAAAAAACCAAAATATGGTGGCTTTTATGTATTACTTAAACCACATCTTTTGATTTAGAGTCCGTACAAGTTCCGGGACATTTCTAGCGAGAGGACAAGATAAAACAGTTGAATCCATTGAGAAAAGGATTGCAGACTTCACCTTCTTACCTGTAGGTATGGCATTATCATTTATCAATCTTTTATTGATCCGAATCCGATTTCACATAAACTGATTTGACTTTCTGCTTAAGATCATGGTGAAGGATTCCAAGTTCTCCACTATGAAGTAGGTCAAAAATATGAACCACATTATGATTACTTTCGTGATGAATATAACACAAAGAATGGGGGTCAAAGGATGGCTACAGTTCTCATGTACCTGTAAGTAATGACAATATAAAATGTCTTATTGTTTTTCTAACTTATGTATGTATCATGTATCATGTATCATCAATTCATCATCACCTATAAAATTTTCATTTCTTTCATGGTTTACAGATCAGATGTTGAAGAAGGAGGCGAAACAGTGTTCCCAGAAGCAAAGGGAAACATTAGTGCTGTACCTTGGTGGAATGAACTATCTGATTGTGCGAAAAAAGGGTTATCTGTTAAACCAAAAAAGGGGGATGCTTTACTTTTCTGGAGTATGACACCAGATGCCACAGTAGATCCTTCAAGTTTGCATGGTTAGTTATATTTTTTTTTTAGGGTTTAGGGTTTAGTTTCACGAAACTAACGTACATTCTCTTCTTATTTTCATAGGTGGTTGCCCCGTTATTAAGGGGAACAAATGGTCCTCTACAAAATGGATCCGGGTCAACCCGTATTACACTTGATTTTGGTTCGAAAGTTACTCACTTTGTTAAAGCTCGCCAATTTTGATGCTCACCCTGTATACATGTTTTGAGGCATATAAGTTTATTTAAATGATTCAGTGGACATGTAAATGTGTGGACCAAAACCCTCTTTTCTTTTTACATATCTTGATTCAATTCTACAAAATGCAAATAAATATAAACATTTCCATATTCGGGATTTATGTATTTTTGTTACTATATAATATATATGGTTGTAACTACTAACTACTTGCATGCACATTGCCGTTTTTTGAACTAATGAAGCTCCTGATACCATGGCAGCATCAAACACAGAGAGCTTCTCTGTTCTAGGAATATGAATGGTATTAGGTCCAACTTCACCTTCCATTAATTTATTCGCAAGTCTTATATTACCAAAAGTACCCCTAACCATGTCCTCATCGTTTCCACGTCGACTACCATATATGAATTGAAATCCCTCCTATCAACCCCAAGTTCCTTTAAATATTTTGCAGCTGGACTATCTCTATGGATACTCCCCCTTGGTGAAATATGATCTGTTGTAATACTATCACCCAAGTTTATTTCAAAGAAGTTAGATAGAAGAAAAAAAGGATCTTAAGAACTCAAATTGACCAAAATACACAACCTTGAATCCAACTTTACTATCCAAGCATGCATGCCAATCAGCTTTCGTATCTTTCAGAAGAACTTGATCATGAGGCCTACAAACAAAAGAACAAAACAACATACATAAGTACAAGCGTACAAGCATGCGTTACAAGCTTATACAACAAAAGATTCATACCTCTTTGGTCCAGACACACAGGGCTCCACATCTTCAAGATTCAACTTCAAATGAGAACTAAATGCCATCTCCTTCTCGGGCTACCACAATTGGGTAAAAAACATAGGGAATTTTACTAGGATCACCACCGAGCTTGTTCATAGCATTACGCATGCCTGCAAGGTCAACAACTGTAGGAGCACCAGTAAAATCCTGCAGTACACTTGCACTCATGAATTCACTGAGTTCAATAAACTCGCAAACTAATTGTAAATTGTAGTAATTGCATATGAGTAGATGAGAAACGACGTCGTTGGTTGGCATACCTGAAGGAGAACTCTAGCAGGTTTAAATGGAATTTCAACTTTTTTGGGAGAAGTCTTCTTCCAGTCAAGAATGTTTTCAACATCCTTGGTTGTCACTTGGAAGTCGTCGCAGTTACGGATTGCAGACTCCAAAAGTATTCTAATCGAGAATGGTGGTCTATCTGTCCAATCATCATGTATATATCGATATATAGCAAACTAATAATTAATATATATCGTCATGATTCTAATGTCCAATTGTTACGAAACTAACTTGATTAGCATGATATTTAAAGCTTGATGATTTCAAATAACATGAACACGATCATAGAGTTGATGAGATTACATTTCAGTTTTAGTTTACGAATCTCAGCAGCTTTACTTAAACATTTAGAGGGTGTTTGTTTTTTTTCTCTGCAGGTCTGCGTGACCTCTTCTGTCTGCGAGACGCAGACCACGCGCAAACATAATGGTTTGCAGTCTGTTTGTTTTTCTGAAGTGCGCAGACATAAAAATGTCTGCACGAGGTCTTCACCACACAGAAATAAGATAGCCTCTTCTAAAGTCTGCAACCCTTTTGACCTAAAAAAAAACGCGTTTTTTCTTTTTTTTTTTTTTTTTTTTTTTCGCCTTCGGTCGTCGTCCAACCTCCCACCTTCCCAGAAAAAACCCTCGACCGATCGTACTCCATCTTGCAGCGACCAGCACCGTCGCAACCCTCCTCTCCGATCAAAACCATCGATCGTCGCCTTCCTCTCCGATCCAGCGTCCTCCGATTTTGCGACCATCACGGTCGATTGCAGCAACGAGCGAACAACAAGGTCACAGCGACAACTTCAACTAGCGACCAATCTGGTTTGTCTTCACCTCTTTCTTTGATTGATTCACATCTTTGTTCAATTTCAATTTCAATTCATCTTGATTGATTCACATCTTGTTTGACCGATCAAAACCATCGCCGCCTTCCTCTCTCTCTCTGTCGATTTCAATTTCAATTTCAATTCATCTTGTTTGAATCACATCTTTGTTCAATTTCTTGTTTGATTCACATCATTGTTCAATTTCTTTTTTGATTCACATCCTTGTTTCATAGAAAATTGACAGCCAAATTCCCAGCAAATAGAAAATCTTACCTGTAAACAAATTGGATTTATATTTTTCTTTGATTGGAAACCAATATACATAACTGTGAATCAAAAGATTTCATTTTCTCTTGTTGATTGTGATTGTTTATGTGTATATGATTTTTGATTGTGTACATGTATATGATAGTGTATATGTATATGATTGTTGATTGTGATTGTTTATGTGTATATGAGTTTTGGTTGTGTGTGTGTGTATATATATATATATATATATATATATATATATATATATGATTATTGATTGTGTATATTTATATGATAGTGTATATGTATATGATTGTTGATTTTGTATGTATGTGATAAAAAGCATCAAAAAGAGTCATAAGTTTTGTTTATTTGATAGAAGTAAAGTTTTTGTCGTTAAAGTGAAGTTTATTTGATTTATAAAGTTTATTAGAAAACTTTGAATTAAAACACTCTAATTGAGGTTATTTATAATTGAATAAAAAGTTTCACATTATTGTCATTGAAAATAAAACAAAATTACAAATGTGTCGTAAAACAAATTTATCGTGAAAATAAAAACTTTTTCTTGAAATAATGATGTTACTTGTTGATTGTTTATTGTTATTTGGTTATTAGAGATGGGAGAAAAACAACAATGGACCAATGAGCATTTAAAATGCTTATTGGATACTTGTATTGAAGAAGTAGAGAGTGTTGGTAGAAAAGGATTGAATTTGCAGAAAGATTCATGGATAAGGCTTGGAAGAGTTCTTAAGGAGAAATTTGGGATTGAGTTGACTAAAAAACAAATGAAAAACGCATATGACAATCTGAAAGCCAAATACACTGGATGGGTATATTTAAAAAACAAAACCTGTAATATATGCAATTCTCAAACAAACACTTTTAATTTAACAGCCGAGGAGTGGAATGATTTTAAGAAGGTACATATATATTAATATACAATAATATATATATATATATATATATATATATATATATATATATATATATATATATATATATATATATATATATATATATATAACATTTACGTTTGAAGTTGCCAAATATTCTTATACTATTTCTTGTTACATTTGGGTTTAGGGGCATCCGAAAGCTGCTTCTTTGAGAACAATTCCACTGCCTTTTCTAGATCTTTGTGCACGTCTTTTTGATGGAAATAGTGCTACTGGTAATTTTAGGAGTTACTCAACCCAATCATCATCAGTAGCTGGCGCATCTTCCTGTCGTGTTCCACCACTTCAGATCACCGCCACCCCTTTTAATGCAATGGATGATGATGGTGTTGACACTTCTCATCATGAGCCACCACCTTCTGCTGCTTCACCTTCTGCTGGTTCACCATATACTGCTACACCATCCGGTAACCCCAACAAAAGGGCTAAACCCTCAACTCCTGTAGCTCCTAGTGCCTCACCGTCTGCTTCTTCACCTGATGGAACTTCTGTTACTGCTGACGATTTAACATTTGAAATGATGAAAGCTCTACAAAGTTTGACTAAAGGGTATACAATTCCTCAGTTTTTAGAGAAGTTAGAGGTCCTTCAGTTAGGCCCTACAGATCCTTTACGCTTTGTCGCATATCATATTTTTGGGGGAACCATGACCATGAGAGAGATGTGGATGCATTTGCCCGATGTTCCCGAGATATTACGAGGGTCGCTTGAGATGACGGGTACCAGTTTAGGAGTTTTGAAGGATGAGAAGATTGTTCGATGATTTTCTAGTGTTGAAAGTATTTGTTATGTCTTTTTGCCCTTATTGGAACTACTTTGTTAAATGTTTTTGCCTTTGTTGGAAATATTTTGTTAGGTCTTTTTGCCCTTGTTGGAACTACTTTGTTAAATGTTTTTGCCTTTGTTGGAACTATTTTGTTAGGACTTTTTGAGCTTGTTGGTACTTGAAATATGATTAATGGAATGTTTATTTGATACTTGAAATATGGTTTATGTAATGTTATTTTGGCTTGAAATATGATAAATGGAATGTTTATTTGTGTAACGTCCCAATTTTCACGTTCGAAAATTTCGTTGTAAAACATTACTTTAGAAAACATTAACAATTAAAAACACTGTTTGATCACACAATAACACAACGTAAACCATGTTTAAAAAGCCAAACCATACAACCCATCAAAATATCAGAGTACAAATCCCAGTGAATCCCGTAAATGCGGAAACCAGAGTGTGTGCATGATGCGCCGCTACCGCGCCAGCTCCTTCCCCTTCGAAGAAGAGGTACCTGAAACCAAAACTGTAAAATGTAAGCACAAAGCTTAGTGAGTTCCCCCACTGTACCACATACCACATAATCACATAACATATGTAAATTTGTCAGGCATATCTGGGTGCCCGACCTACCCCTTCGGTCCTCTCGACCGGCTACTGCCTAGCATATCTGGGTGCTGGCCTCCCCTTCGGTCCTTTCGACCGGATACTACCTAGCATATCTGGGTGCTGGCCTCCCCTTCGGTCCTTTCGACCGGATACTGTGGACTATTTCACCCCCTACTACTACCACATAACACATATATCACATAGTCTATCTAGCATGGCTGGGCATAACCGCCTCTTCGGCCTTATCGACCGGTATTCTGGGGGACTATCTCCCCCTACTATCACTAACACATAACATAACACAGTAGTAGCAACCCTAGATGAATATCACAAAGACAATCATCTAATCACACATCTCCTACTGGTGGGCCGGCATTGTGGCCTTAGACCCACCGCTACTGGAAGGTAACTCACCTGATACTGCTGAAGTGCTGCTGCTAATCCCTTTGACCGCTACCTGACCTCTGTCTTCGAACTGCTGCTCCACTAGCTCCTCGAGCTCCAAGAAGAACACAAACTGAAGTAGATCTCGGATCTACACCTCTCTTTTGAAGCCACCTTCCTGATCTTCAAGTCCCTTCCAAGATTTCCTTCCCCCAAAACTATTTCTCTCAAATGATGGAGGCTCCCACGAATCTAGGGTTTACAGTTTCTCTAGGATGATATGGAGGCTGAGGGAGGGGCATAACTCCCTTTTATATAGGATACAACTCCCAGAATTAGGGCTTTCCTCGCACAGACCAGACTCGCCGAGTCGGTCACTGACCCGGATCCCGCTCGGACTCGCCGAGTCCCTCCTTGGACTCGCCGAGTCGACCCCTAAACTTAGGGTTTTCTTTCCTTTCTTGGTCTTCGAAACTTAGGGTGTTACAATTTGATACTTGAAATATGGTTTATGTAATGTTTTTTAAAGTTCTACTTTGTTGATTTTAGGTTCATATGGATCACGATCAAAAGTTACTTCTCGTAATTCTAATGTACCTATACATCCGTTATTTTTGGAAGAGGGGTGTGAAACGATTGTGGGATAATGATTCGGAAATGATGGGACACGAATACACATTGGAGTTATTACATCGTAATCGTTTACAATGTGTTGAAATATTACGCATGTCCCGTGAATCTTTTGTACAACTATGTGCTCATTTTATAGCAAATTACTCATTAAAGGACAACAAACATGTATCAGTTAAGGAAAAGATGGTTATGTTTTTGATGATGATCGGACATAATCAACGTTACGTGATTATCAAGCGGAGATTTCAACACTCGAAGCAAACAATTCATAAATTTTTTATGAAGTGTTGGAAAAAATGATGCTTTTCGCACAAGATGTTATAGTACTAACATCTTTTAATCCGAATCCAAACATTCCAGGACATAATAAGAGGCTACAAAGGGTTTTCAAAGGAGCAGTTGGTGCACTTGATGGCACTTTGATACATGCTGTTGTCCCTGCTAAGAAACAAGACTTATATAGAAGTAGGGGAAAAGGAGATTGCTACCAAAACGTATTGGCAATTTGTGACTTCAATATGATTTTTACATTTGTTGTGACCGGGTGGGAAGGGGTAGCGCATGACTCTAGAATATTATCAGAAGCAGTAGCCGATCCACAAGCATCATTCCCGTTTCCACCACCAGGTAAATTTTTGTTTTTTAAAATATTTTTATTTTAATTTGAAAATTGATTAGTGTTTTGCATTTTTTTCAGACAAATATTACATTTGTGATGCTGCGTATGCACACACTCGAGGATTTATGGCCCCTTATCGTAATGTGAGGTATTGGCATGGAGATTTTCGTCAAAGACGTGCATTAACCAATAAAGAAAAATTTAACCATGGACATGCAAAACTTCGGAATGTCATTGAGCGTGCTTTTGATGTGTTGAAAGCACGCTTCCCTATATTGAAGAGGATGGCATCATTCCCGTTTGTGACACAAAGAAACATTGTCATGGCATGCTTCGCGCTTCATAATTATATAAGGAAAGAAGGATTGAGTGATGAGTATTTCGCACGATACGATGAACCCAATATCCCGTTTCGAAATAACAATGTGGCCATTGATGATGATGAAAACGGGATTCCAACACATGGTACTGCAGCAGACCGTGAATATATGACTCAGTTAAGTGATGAAATTGCTGATTAGTTGATGCACAATATAGATTGAATTGTTTTAAATGAAATTGTTATTGTAAAACATTTTTTTTATTGTATGACTAATTTAGTTGCATGAATTTTATTTTCAATGTTATAAGACTATTATTATTAAAATTTTGGTGTTGAAAAATCATTTTAAGTTTGTAAAATAATTTTATTTAAAATTCAGTTTATTTCAGTAGCCTGCAGAAGTTAAAAAACAAACAGTCTTCTTATTGCAGACTGCAGACGTTTGGTCCACCTCTTCTGCTGCAGAGGCTTGCAGATGTGGTCCGCAGACTGCAGACATTTTGGCTTCAGAAAAACAAACAGCACCTTAGATGAGTAGTACCGATTCTGGAATCACTGAGAGAAGGTAAGCTGTAGTATTTGCCGAATTCACCACCGCCTTTCTTCTCTAATGTCTTCAATATCCTCGAAAATGGATTATGGCTCCCAGCAATTCAATGAAACAACGAACGAAATTCGAGTTAACATTCATGATCGAACTCAGCAGAAGAAAAGCGAATTCTGGATTCATACATACATATCCATCGATTACTAGTTAGGACTCAAGTTGATCTACTACTAGGGCTTTATCGGCGTGTGTGTCCGGGTGTCACGTTTCACACAAGGCGCATGAGAATGGCGCCACTTCACATGTTAGTTAGTTATTTATTGTTTTTATTAATTTACTGGTTTCGTAAAACAAAAAATTAAATATGAAAGTTTAAACAAAAATTTATTTAAATTAAAAATTTTAGATTTAAAATTTGAATTTAAAAGGAAACATATTAAATATTATATGAGTATTAATATTGTAATTTATTGATTATTTTAAATTAAGAATTGATATGTAAATATGATGTATTAATTAAAAAAAGATAAAACAAAATGAGAAAAATGATAAATGGAAAAAACATTCATTCAAAAATATCAAAAAATGATATGTGTCCAAGTTAATGAAAGAGTGCTATATGGTAAAATTATTTTTATTTATTAGGAATGATTAATTAATTATTTATTAAATACTTCAATATATTTTCTCTTTTGTTTTTACTTGTTTTTTGTATCGGGAAACTACAAGTGAGGAAATCAAAATTCACAAAGTTGTCATAGCCTCTTTCTAGAGTTATAGATTTATAATTATATCATTATATATGTCTAAGTTGAGCTAAATATGTAGAAAAAGAAAAGTAGTAAAGGAAAACCTAATTAACTTGCATGAGTAGCTTATTTGGTATCATCTTTGTTTTATAGATTGGAGGTACCGAATTATAATCCGAAGGCGATTTCATTTAATTTTTAGCCATTAATCAACCATTCAAAAAAAAAAAAAAAAACCTCGCACGTACTTCCGAATTTTAGAAACACAAAAGAGTTTTCTATAACTTAAAGTTTTTATTTAGTTCAATGATATAATAATGCGAATTTAGCTAAGAAAATATAAAGATCTCGTTTCAAGAGCGTTGTCAGGCATCAAACCAAGACCTTGCCAACCACATCCACAATTCCATACTCCATATCCACACACCCACTAAGGTTGGTGGGTATACTTTTTATCGTACCATGCAATAGAGGTGATGTGTAACACCCGATTTTTAGATTAGATCGATTTAGGGCTTCAAAGAGTCAAAGATATGATTTTTGGGTTAAACCAAGGCTCACGACCTGACCATAGAGGGTCACGACGTGAAGAGTGATTAAATGAAGACACTGAATTATGCTGAGCTCACGACGTGAGATGTGCTGCAACCATTGATCTTTTAGGTTTTTCTTTGTATTTAAACCCCATAAACTTCATTTTATGGTTCCAAAGTAGCTTCATTCCTCCCTAAGCATAGAAAAACCCTAACCCAAACCTCTCTTTGTGATTCTTGAACTTTTGGTGGAGTTTTGGTGGTTTGAAGAAGAATAGATCACCATTGAAGCATAAATTCAGCTTGGAAGTTCCATTTGCAACCCCTAGCAACACCTCTGGACCATTGTGAGTAACCAAGATTCAAGCTTTTTGTTTCCTTATTACTAGATCTAAGGTTTTATGCATGTTTATCCACGGCTACAAGAGTTAAGTGTCGGGACTCCAGAAAGTTTGCAACTTTATGGGTCCTTAGGGTCCCTTAGTGATTATATGTTATATATATGAAGTTTGGATGATGTTTGAGATTTGATCTCCTTTTTCTCCATGAATGCTCTAGTTTGAGCTCAATTCTTGTATTGGACATACAAGACCTTA